TGATTTTTGTCCGGTAGTTTTCAGCCCATGTTTCTGTCACTGTCATAGCTGGTACCCAGCACTTGCACACTGATTTCATTGCTGCATCTTATTTGTTATTGTTTTTCATTTATACCATCCGTGTTCTTTCTTTTCTTGCAGATTGTGATATCTTTAGTCTGACCTTTTTAACTGGAATCAGAACTGGATGTTGGGGTCACTTTCTTTTATTGTACAATTTAATGACGTTAAACTGCCCTAAAAATCCAGCTCACTTGTCTAAACAGTAACTGTTGGTTTTGTTGCCAGCAGTCACACTGGTGAAAGTAACTGTATTAACACAAATTGTCCCGTTCCTCAAATACTGTATGGAGAAAAATGAAAAATTCATCTTGGAAACCTTGTATTTTATTGTTTTATTTTAAGTCACTAATAAAACTGTGAATGTCAAAGAGGAGTTTTGCTGAACTCTGCTTAGCAAAAATGTGATTTTAACATGCCTGTTCAGTTTTTTCTATTAAGTTAATCCAAAGACTTCTTGAATAAATTTAAGCAGAGTAGATCTTATTTTAAATATTCACAACTAAAAATGTCTTTTTGCTTTCCTTTTGATGGACTACTATTATGTAAATATGTGAGTAAAACTGATGGCAGGCATTTTGGAATATTCCAGAGACACACTGCATTTTCCAAGTACTGAAATATTTTTATTCTGTAGGAGAAAACGTGCTTAATATTCAGAGACAATTGTTTTAAGTGTTCTTTTTTATTTTTTTCTGAAGGGGAAAAAACTAAATGGAAGCAACGTGGTGGTAATTCCTTTATTGTGGTTTACCCTTGGCAACACTTTGTGTTCTCCAAACTGAAGGGTGCTTAATTGTTCACTTTCTTCTGTATTCTGCAGGTCCCATAACAACAAACTGCAGTCTACAGCTTCTTAGAGTTCAGCGTGTTACCAAACACACGAGCAAGGATCTGGTTGTCTGACAATTTTTAATTAAGGAGCCAGATGTTTTTAGTCAGGTTGTCCTGACAAGACTTGATGTAAACTGCGTTTTTATTGGTCACAACAGTCAAATTATATTCTTGGCTTATTTTGTCCAAAGGACAAAGAAATAAAAAAATCAGCAGCACCACTTTCTTGTCAAGATCAAATTGTTGTACTATTGTGGCAGAAGCGGGAAAACTTTGTTTTGGTGGAGGAGAGAGAGAAAGAGAGCAAGAAAAAAAGATACAGTAAATGGGGTCACGTTTAACTCCATGGAAATGCCACGTCTGTTCTTCAGTGAAGAAGCTGGTTTAAAGTCCACACAGAAAACTTTGACTGTATTTATTTATTGTTGCAAAAAAGACGCTTTTTTATTGCTGCCCTCATTTGTCAGCTAATTATTTTTTCTTATAAAATCCAGCCCCGGTTCCATGTAATCCATTCTGTATCTTAACATGATTCCTGTAGGTAAAAGTACAAGAAGACCTCTAGATGTCTTTTCTTTCTATGAAAGGAGCTGCTATGTACACATGTGCACACACACAGGACTGGGAATCAACAAGGAGTTTATCATTCATGGTAGATAAAAAGAAGCTTGCATAGAAGTTGGGCTGAGTGGTCATGGACTACAGACTCTGTTGCCTTGAATATAACAGTACAATTTGTCATTTACTCTGCACCAGACTGAACTGAGTAAAATCTATTTGAAGGTATCTTGTTTGTAAACATTTGTCAGATTCTAATTTTTTTTTTCTTTTGTATTAAAATTCAAAATATGGATGTATATGAAACAAAATAAATGGAGATCATTGTTCTCCCCACAGCCGGAGGTGTGTCTGAGTGTGCGCTGACACGTGGGCTCTGTGCAGGAGTGCAGGTATTGCAAGGAACAGGGGTGGGAATGGCCAGGGAGGTCGGATCCCACTGCTCCCAAGGTTGTGGGATACCACGGTTCATTCCTAAGCACCTGTTATCCCATTGTAACATCACTCCAGTGGTGCCAGAATGACTGTAACAGATGGGACGGGGTAAGGAAGTATCTTGTGAAGTGTCCCTGCCCACTGCTGAATTCAGGGGTGTTTGCCAAGTGCTCTGGGAATGTGCAGTACCACGTGTAACTGTATCCCTGGGAGGCGTCCTGGGCTGCCTCCGTGTTTCCTGTGGGATAAACTGGAGTCCAAGAAGATGCAAATTGCAGATAAGAAGGTTTTCTTTCCCATCTCCCCCCTGCAAGTGACCTGCTCATGGTACCTGTCTGTAGTTCCCAGCCCTGGTTTCTCTGCAGCTCCTCGACCACCTTTTGCACTAATTCACAGTCAACTTGTGTTCCACAGTGGTCTGGGATTTACCTGATTCATGGATAAGCTCCTTTTGGGTTTCACCTCACACCTTGCTATGCAAGAACCTCGTCTGTTATTTTTCTTACAAAGGTGTTGCTGCTCACCACCCTTTCTTACACTTCAGCTCAGGTGTTCAGGTTCTTCTGGGGGGATTTTATCTACTAAAAACTCGTGTGTTTTTGTACATACAAATGTTGTCATTTAACCTATATGTGAAAATTACTAATTGTTCAGTGTGGAAACAATAATCCATTTATGCTTCTGAAAGTCAAAGAAGAGTAGTTGCATTTAGGTTATGTTGTCCTTTGAAGTTTTTTTAAAAAAATGCTGCATATTGTAAGCATTGTGTTATAATGCAACAAGGAAAAACCTCCCCGTTCACAGCACTGGGAATATCCTGCATCTCATCCAAACTCCTCAGTATTTCTGGACTATTTATTCATACTTAAATCCATATGACATGGTTTAAACCTTTCCTACCTGTAGGCAATAGATTGCTGTTTTTAACAAATTGTGGCAAACTGAACAGTACCTTTTTGTACCTTATAGGACACATCATCCTAGACAAATAAAGTAATGTGTTTGACATGGATTTGGTGGTGTTTCTAATGAAACATTTGATGATGTTATGGGATATAGGTCTTGGCATTGCCAGATCATATATAATCCATACATGCAGTTTAATCCTGCTGGTTAATTGTCCAACCCAAACCATTGTGATTCCATATGATCCTGTTTTAGTGTCTTCAATTGCCATGGAGTAGGTCAAGATACTTCTCACAATTTATTAGTGGTGAACTTTTACAGTTAAATGGTGTTATTGGAAATAAATCACTCATGATTAATCCCCACCTGCCTTAAAGCATAAAGTTCATAAGGTTTGTGGTCTCTGGTCAGTCTTCCTCCTCTTTGTATTTTATAAATTATTGCAACAGTTGTTTTGAAATGGCCTGTGTTGTAACACTGTGATAATGTGAGCTGTACCAGCCTGATTTTCCTTTTTGTCTCCTCAAATTTGAAGCAATTACCCTCGGTCCTGGTTTAGTTCATGCAGAAGCTAATGGAGGTTTAGAGTGAAAAATTGAGCTGAGCCAAAAGCCTCAAGTAAACCCCAGAAAGACAAGAAGATGACAACATTCCTGTACACCTGGATTTTTGTGTGTTGGCTGCAGAATTCTCCTATTGATCCTGCTGGGGAGAAAACTATCAACTGTAAGGTACCAAAATTACTGTGGCAGCTGCTGGACTTTGAGTTCTGTCTTCTCATTGTGGTTATTGCTGTGAGGGTTTTGGAATAGTGAGTGAAAGACTTTTGACCTAAGAAATCTTTTTATTGAGTATGTACCTTTGGTGTGTGATGAGCCTGGTATCAACAGTCCTGCTCCAGCTCTATCTCAGCTGGGCTGGGACATGCAGTGGCTTCTTGCTCAGCTGGTGTGGGAACATTTTAAGGAGGGATCTTCCAAGAAAGAAGGGAAAGGTAAGAGGATGAAAAAAGGGAACACAGGATAAATTGTTCTTCAGGCTCCCAGAGCAGCAGCTCTATCCAAGAGTGTTTTGTGTCAGTTATTGGCATGGAACTCGGGCTTAGCACTGGTGTCCTGTGCTTATCCCTTCCCAGGGACAGTCACAGTGAGATATATGTTGGGTTTGTACCCACACTTCCCTGGATTAGGTTACAATAGTGGGAACAGGGCTGGGATGCTGCTCTGGGAGGGGGGATGCCTGGAGGAGTTGCTGGTTAGTCCCTGGACTTGGCTGGAAATAGAAACAGAGAAACTTGAGATGCTCATGTAACCCTTCCTCCTCCTTCCTCCTGTCCCTCCCAGTCACTCCAGTGCTCGAATTTGCTGCCAGAACACTCCTGCTGCCAAATCAAAGCCCCCTCAGAGTCTCTCAGGAAAATTCCATCTATCCATGGTGTGCTCCAAGCAAAGGCTTTCACAGAGCAGAAGTGAGACAATTTACTTTTTAGGTAGACCCACACTATGAGTAAATTTCTCAGCCTTTGGGTCCCAAATATGTGATGTTTGCTCTTGGTACTTGGCTCCATATCAAGACATGCTTGATGCAGTGTGACCTGTCGCCCATCCCTTGCTCTGTGACTTTTCAGTGACACTAAATGAAGCTGCAGATGTGTGTGACAGGTAGAATGTCCCAGAACTACCTTTGTTTCAAGACAGAAAGTGCTTATAGAAACCACTACTTCCTGTTGCAGGTCATGTCATACCACTGTATATGTATTTTTTTTAAGCTCCACTGCTTTTTTCCATTTCTTAATATAAATATGTAGTCAAATCCCCAACTTGTCAAACAAGGAGATGCCTTTGTTTGTTATGATAACATAAGCTTTTTGGGTCTTCCAGAACCCAGGGGATGGTGAAACCAGAACCTCACGAACATTTTATTAGTTTCTTTTACAGACTTTAGACCTGCAAAGACTGACTGGGAACAGCAAACATTTGATTCCCTCTGCAGCCCTTTCACAGGTTCTTCCGTCCCACCACATTAAAGGTACTAAAAGATTGTATCTTTGTTTTTAAAAGTAACTTTACTGGTGTGCAAGAACAAGCTGGGTGATATTTCTGAAGGGGAATGGCATTCAGGAGGAACTGCCCGTGTAACCAGGCACACACTGTGCAGTCCATGCTCATTCTGCATTCCTTGGAATGAACTTGTGCCATTACTCATGAGCCAAATTGGGCATTTGTGTTGTGCAGTTCTTGATGTGCTTTCAGTCAGTGTGTTCATACACTCAAATAGTTATCCTCCATTCTGTGTGCTTCCTGTGAACATCCAGCTCTGGTTGAGGAATGTAATTTTTAGAAGTAGCACAAAAGACACATTTGAGGAGACCAAAACAATACAAGTGATACTTAGTGCTGTTGGTTTCTCTTGAATCAAATGCATGTGATACTTCAGGCAGAACTGTGTGACATCCTGGGCAGACAAAGCTGTGTACAGATCTAACGTGTTCAGGGTGAGAGGTTCTAAAGTGCACTTGCTGAGCACTGAGGATGAAGCCTCCAGAACTGTACATTTACTACAGATTATTAGGGGTGCACTGCAGCAGGGGAGGCTACAATAACCTGTGGCTCTGAAAAAGCTGGAGCAAATCCATGACCAGTTAACATTCCCTAGCCTGACTTCTGTGCTAAACCCCACCCGAGGTGCCTGGTGAGGGCATTCCGTGTTTGCTGAAGCACAAAGCGGTGTCCGATCGCAGCCGGTGCCCGGCGTGAGGTGCCCTGGCCAGGTGTGCCCTGGGGGGTGACTCCCACTGCTCCCCGTGTCCTGGACGGAGCCACCGGACCTTACGGACACTTGGAACGCGCCGCCTGCACCTTGTGATCCCTTTTCCTGTTGAACCTCCTCACATAGCTGCTGCTGCTCCCGATCCAGCCGTCGCCCGGCCGGAGCCGCCCGCGCAGGGCCGGCAGCAGCTCCGCCGGCAGCTCCCGGCGCTTGTGGAAGATCCGCCCCATCACGATGTACCTGCTCCCTGCAAAGCAAACGGAATGTGGGATCACTCCCTGCGCTCCGAGGGGGGTGGGAACAGGTGGGAAGTTGTGCCCTTTGGAAACATCCGGAACATACCACGGCACCCAGAGCTCCCCTGGGACCTGTGGGTGGTTGTTGCACAGACATGATGAGTTACTGCTGGGGCAAATACTGATGTTTGGTTAACTTGCATTTAGAAGGAAAACTGGACTACTGATAAAGACATCAGCTTAAGCTCCTGCTCAAACTGTTTTGGCAATCCTGAAAACTTGCAATCATTTTGGAACTGGATAAAGTTAAGAAAGGACTGTACTGACACCTGACTTCTTCCAGCTTCTCTTCTGGAAGTTTCAAGAAACTGGGATGGAAAAAGCCCTTCACTTTGAGGAAGTGCTTTTTTTCCAGATTTTCCTGACAAACCAGGGTAAGCCTATTAAACTAGGGCAGACTAAGACGGCACTGCATGCAGAGGAATAGCAGAATGGATTTAGCTGGAATTATTTACCAAGTTTAAAGTCTGGACAGGGTTTACTGCAGTTCAAAGTATCCACAAGTAGGATGTGGACTCGGAAGAAGGCGGCATCGGGAACGACGTACAGGCGACTCATCTTGTACAATCCATCACTGTTCACCAGGAGGGTAATCCAGTGGACTCCCTTCCCCAGGCTTTCCATGTTATAAACAATTCCATTCACTGCTGTTTTAAGGGAGAGAGGGGGGAAAAAAAGCAAGGATCAGATTGTATATATGGTGGCAGCTCAGGGTATGAGTGAAGGCTCTTATTTAAAATGCTCAAAGGAAGTGTCAGCAGAAATCCTTGGATTCGGTGGGCAGTGGGAGTTGCTTCAAGTCACCTTTGGTGAGGTCATTGCCTGAGTTTCTGCTGCCTTACTAACCTTGTGCTTTACAGGCCTGAGATGTTTCTTAGTGACGTTTATAGAATGTTCCAAAAGACAGGGATGGGTTTAGTACCATTTTCTATCCCAATACATAAAAAGTGGATGTGTTTGTCTAACAAAGTCAGATGGTCAAATGTAAAACTTCCCACTGAAGTAGAAAGGTGAGCTGGAAATGAAACACTTGGAAGGAAAGGCGCCAAGTAGGCTGTGTTGTGTGTTCAGACAATCACTTCTTGCTGTGCTCCCAGTTCCTGGTTCTGACAAGTGCTGAGCTGACTCCAGGAATGGGAAAACAGCACCATGTCAGGTGGGAAAGGCAAAGGGGGCTGTTACAGCTGGTGTTACACCTGCCTTGGTGGGGAGAGCTCTGCTCAGCACTGGAAATGTAAAGAAATGGGAAGCTCTCTGATCACTGCAATGGAACCTTGGCTCAGCTGTTGCCCAGACTTTTTCCTACCTGTCTTTTTGATTTGAGAGAAGAGTGAGGCTGCTGTTGGTTAAAGGCTAAAGCACACACTGTAAAGCCCCCGTTGCACAGGAATGCGTGAGAGTGGTAAAAACCAAAACAGGCAGCATTTGCAGAAAGCACTTCCTGACTTCTCCATTTAGAGAAAACAGATGTCTCCTAACGTGTTTATGTTCTACAAATGGAAACATCTGTTACCACTGGGGTTGTATTTTCCTTATCTCTTAAAATACTGTGAGAAAAAGTTGGTATCTGTTTCACAACTTTGTGAGCACAAGGCAGGATTTCAGTCAGAAAATGCTTGTCCTTAAACAGTCCCTACAGAAATACCAGCCTGTTTCCTGCCATCTTTAGTTACATCAGTGTGGACAGAAGGACTAAAGACACTGAATCCTAAGGAACTTCAGGAAGAATCCTCTCTAGAGAGAGGATCACAGTTTCAGTTCTGTTTGGTTCACCATTATATTTTCATTTCAAACTTCAGCCCCCAAAATCAAACTCGCTCCAAGTAGTAGGAGGTAAGTAACCCAGCTACAATGTTTAATCTGAGACTATCTAAAACAATTGGTCTTTTCAGTTCCATTGACCAGTCCCAAGGACACTTTTCCTGCCAGGAGTGGAAAGTAGAGGGAACAGAAAAAAAGATCAATACTAGCCCAAGGTAGGGAAAGCGCAACGTAAGTACATTTATAAGGAGCTGTGATGGGCACTCTTAGTGTACTTGGTAATTATTTAACATACTTATGGTATCTTTTAACAGTATTTTGGAAGTGCAGCAGGTGAACAGCAGGCCTGTGCTCTGTGTGGGTTGGGGAGGACACAACCTACCAAATTCACTGGCACAAAAGGCCTCCACTTCATCCCGCTCTCCCCTGCACTGGGCCAGACACTCCTTGTCCTTGTCACCATCTGGAACGGGAACACACACTGAGGGACAGAAATGGGCCTTTGGGGATATTTTTCATCCCAGTTACGCCGCCCAGCCTTTGGAATTTCTGGGTACCCCTTTCCAGAGCAGCCTGTCCTTACCTTTCCTCAGCACTCCCAGGGGGTTGGGTGGGCCGAGGGACCAGCGGTTGGTGACCCAGGAGGGTTTGGGGATCCTCGTGACAGGATCGGGGTGTTTGTAGGGGATTATCTGGCCCGGGCGGTTCAAGTGCAGCGTGTTGGGATCCCCTGACTCCCCTGAGTCTGGAGGAGGACGAGCTCCCCGGGTGGGTGTCCCCTGTTGCTGGGAGGCTGTGCCGTGGTGGGAGCGGGCGGACACGCTGTTGGCAGCGCCGGCCCGGCGCCGGTCCGTGTGCTTCCTGTTGGCCTGGCTGGAGTCGGGGGAGCTGGGAAAAGGCCCCTCAGCTGGGCTCTCCAGAGGCTGCCAGAGGTGTTTCCTCAGCCCTGTGCTGTTCTCCAGGGAAGGTTTGGTGCGTTTCTTCTTGTCCCAGGGCAGGGAGGTGATTTCAGGAGGCTTTGGCGGCTGCAGGTGGGTGGGAGGCAGGATCCAGTGTTCCCTGGAATTCCCACTGGCACTGCTGGTGCCACGGGCTGGCAGCTTCACCTGCCCAGGTGCAGCAGCTGCTGAACTAAAAGCATCTTTGCTGAGAGCCTGGCCAGCTTTCTCAGCATAGGGCAGGGATCCTACATCAAGAGGAGAGAGAAAATCAGCGCTTTCAGTTTTTTATATGTTATTACATAGTTATTTTATATGTTCTTCTGAATGGGAGGATTTGAGGTTCTAGCCCATAAGTCCCTCAACAATATATAACTGATATGCTAATAACTGATAAATATATAACTGATAAATAGCTGAACAGATGAAATACAGTAGAGCAGCTCATTGCTCTGTACTCAGACGTGGCAGGCCCAGCACAGGGAATGCAGCTGTGTGAGCAGAACGGGAGGTTTGCATTTTTACTTTATTATTGTTGCAAATTAAAAACAAACCCTTTTCTCAAACCCCTGAGTCTCCGGGGAGCATCTGAGGAAACAAGGTTCACGTTGCCATTTGGGATGCTTGTTTAAAAGACCATGACAGCAGAACTATTTGGTTTTCCCATCCATGGGATGCCTTATTGACAGTGTCATCCGGACTTTTCAGCAGCTTTGGGCTGTGGACATTACTGGAAAGATCTTTATCCACAGTTTTGGATTTCTAGCTGGTAATTAGGTTATTGCTGCCGAGAAACAGTTATTTCAAGGCTTTTCTTAATTTGAGAGGACAAGGGTTGAGAAAGAGAGGAAGTGTCTGGGAATACAGTGAGAAATGACTTACTGACACTGTTCACACAAGCTGGGCAGTCACCTATGCTTTTGTTTATACCTTCACCCCAATCACTTGGACCTCAAAAAGCAAAATGGCCTTCTGTTTAGCCTGGGAAGAGAGAAATTTCCCCTTGCAGTCCATTTTCCTGTTCCTTTAGCCCCTCAGTGCATGCCCTGAGTGAGCCAGCAGAGTTTTCACACAGCTCACCCCCACACAGCCGCCGTCGGGGTGTTCGTGGCTGTGGTTACTCTGTGTAGGAGGCAGATCCCAATCCCTGTGTGAAAAGAGAGGTTTGACATCCACAGATGAACAACGTCCTGGTTTATCTCCTCTGACTGACTCAATTGCTGACCTTGCCACTTCTCCCCCTTTGCTCTCACCAGCTGCTGTCATGGGAAAGATTCCCTGATATTCGGGCTGGCCACACGTAAAGTCAAAAGAATGTCCATGGAGAGCGGGGTGGAAGGAGTCCAAGCTGAAGGGAGCAGCAGGGAAGGGTGTTTTGGAGATGGTTCAATATGAGCTGTGCACTCTGAACAGGTGTTTCACACTTGGGTGTGTAAGAACACTCTCCTGCCAGTTCATCACGCTCTCTCAGTCACGGAGTGCAACAAGAAATAGTTGATTTTTCTCTACTCAATCCATTCAGGACCTTGAGGTTCCTGCTCCTGTATCAGCATATTCCTGTCTGGCTGTTGCAGCATAAGACATATGACTGCAACATAACCAATTCCCAATGGAACAGATGTAAATCTTATTTATTTTCTGTCAGTGATGTACTAAACTCCAAATAAATCAGTTCAGGACAGCTTGCTGCAGGCACACATGGCAGCACAGAGCTGCAGTCAGTCAGAAACATGGTATTTACAGGTGAAGGGGACTAAAAGAGATATAAGTTATAAAAATCCCATATGCAGAAGCAAGTCAAACCTCACCTGCCACTGAGAGCTCATGGCACCACCTCCCTGCCTGCTCCTGCCAGGTGCTCTCAGTTCCTCCAAATCTGACAAATCAAATATTATAATTTGCATTCCCATCCCACAAACAGGTTGAAATGTTTCTTTCCCGAGCCCTTACATATGACTTGCTGAAAAGGCTACAGCCTGGAGGGCAAGGACTTGCAGGAACGTCTTCAGCCTCCCCTGATTCCAAAGGCAAAGCTGCCCCAGCCCCGCTCCGAATGCAACAGACTTACCAGAGGATGATCTAATGGCAAAGCAGAGGAGCCAGAACACTTGGGTTGTCATTTTGAAGTATTTTTCCAGACTCAAAATGAACTGGAGTCTTTTATGCCCTTCCCCTGTTTCATGCTAATGAGAGGCAGCCTTAGGGGAAACGGGAATCACTCACTGGACAACCCACTGGAGCAAGACCAAGCTGCTGCCGTCCCTCCACCACCCCTGCCCAGGAGGGATGTGCTCCAGCACCTCTTCCCGTCGGGAATAACTCTGTGCTGCTGCTGTCCCCTGTGTGCTGGGGATGATATGTTTTTAGCAACAGATTTTTTATTTGGGGGACAGTCTTGCCTCTTATGGCACTTTGTAGAGAAAAAACATACAGAACAGGTCAGGGTTTATTGGATATGGAGAATTCATACTGGAATTGGAAGGTGCTGGAACAGCCTCACTGCATCTGTGAAGGATGTGCATTGCAGTGGAACATATTTGGGGATTTCTGGCCACCTCCACTTACACAGCTGGTAATCTCCTCTCTCAGTTTAAGGAACCAGTTCCAGTGATTCTCTTCAGACTGAAAAACGCAGTAGTGACTGTCCAGCCCAAGGCAAAGCTCTGCTGATCCGACACAGCTTTATTTTGAAATCTCCCTTTGCTAACAAGAAGAACTCTGCAAGTTTTCACACACCAAGCCAGCCCTGATTTGGATTACTGAATTAAGGGGGCTTATTTCTATGTGACCTTATTGCCACACAACATTTCCATTGTGACAGTGTCTCTCACCGGCTGCTCCTGGGTGTTGTGGAAGTCTGTGAACTCGCTCAAGGTGCAACAAACAACTTATAAACCCCATAAGGGCTCCTGGAACCCACCCCCGACAGAAAATCTCCCCTTTGGCAGTGCCTGGGGCATGGATGGTTGTCCAGTTTAAGCAGTCTGTTTTGTCCTGCCTTAATTAAGCAGTTCAATAAGATTCTTAAAAGCTCAGGGCTTTACCTCGAGCAGCAATGGCTGAAGATACAGAAAATTAACTAAAATAATGTGCAAAATAAATGACATTTTAACACAGTGAGTTACATTTCTACTGCAGCGCTTATTAATCCTTATTTTCCTTTGTTACTTTTACCATTTTAAGGCCAGAAGTGTCCCAAGAGAGCTAGTGCGGGAATAGGATTGTAAAGGGATGAGGGAGAGCTCCTGCAGTCCTGTTGTACCTCGTGTCCTGCTCGTACCTGCAGCAACTGAGAGAAGCAGGAGTGTGAGCACTTGGATGGATGGATGGACATGTGAGCATCCCACAGCCCTGTGCTCCAGGGATTTTCCTGCTGAATTAGGCGGTGCTGTAACTCAACCCTTACTGTGCCTGTGCTGGTGTTGAGTTCCTCCAGCCTCTTTACCTGGACAGGACCCCCATTAGAAGGAGTGGCGTTTGGAGCATTCCCACCATTCTAGCAGCTCCAGTGACGCTTGGAGCATTCCCACCGTTCCAGGACGCCCGAGCAGCAAACATGGGAAAGCTTTTCCAGCGGGGCTGAGGAAAACAGGGATCTGCAGCGCCGGGGCTACCTCCCGGCAGGGACGGGGGCGGCCGCGGGACCCCGGCGGGACGGAGGCGGCTGCAGGAAGAGCGGGAAGGGGCCCTGGGGGTGGTAAAAGAGTGGGAAGGTCCCAATTGAGCGATGGGCCCGCCACGGGGACACAAAATAGTAACGGCCCGACCCAGATGGGACTCGAACCCACAATCCCCAGCTCCGGAGGCTGATGCCTTATCCATTAGGCCACTGGGTCACCCACTGGAGCTTGCGCGCGCCGCCCAGTAAGAGCCCCGCCCGGCGCCGCTGGCTCCGCCCCCGCGGGCCCTGCCGCTTTCCCGCCCCGCCCTTCTCGCACGCCATTGGCCGCGGTGCCCTCGAGGCCCCGCCCCCGAGGCCCCGCCCGCGCCTCAGAGCCCGTTCGAGCCCTCGGCGGGAGCGCGTCACCTTCGTTACCCTTGTCCCGAAACTCTTCCCCTCACGGGCTCCCGACGTTCAGTTTCCTGACACTGTCCCGTCCCTGCCGTGGTTCCTGAGTTGTGGCTGTTGGCTGCATCCCGTGCAGGCGATCTCCTCTACTACTACTCGGCCTTCTACTCAGGGACCCTTCTCCCCTCACAGCTCTCACCCCTCACAGCTCAGTCTCCCCTCACAGCCCTTTTTCTCACCTCACACCCTCTGCAGCCCCATTACCTCAGTCCCACCTTGACCTCTCTCTGGCCTCCCTCCGCCTCTCCATGGCTTGGCTGTGCCAGTAACAGCCCTTGGAGCTGGGACACCTCCCTCACACCCCCCATACCGCCTGCAGCACCTCACACAGCCCCCTCAGTGTCCCAGGCACTCCCGGCTCTCTCCCTGCCCTCAACAACCTGTGCCCAGGTTTCACTGCTCCAGACCCTGCACTGCCAGCGATCCATGACCCAGTGGGATTCCTTCATGCCAACCCTCCGATCCTTCAGGAGAGCAGGTGTTTTACCTCGATTTCTATTTTTGAACTACCTTTTTTTCTGTCAAAATAGTCCTTTTAAATATCTCCCTTTCTGAGTAACATGCTTTCTCCTCTCTTGACTCCCTGCTCTTACTTAACTGTTTTTTATGATTTTATTTACAAAGCTCAGAAATGTAAGGCCCGAAACCAAAACACTGTGTGAGGTGTCACTGGTAATTCCCCCTCCTCTGCATAAATCCTCCACTGTGTGCACCTACAGACCAGTATAAAGTGGTTTAATGTAATGGTTTAGCATATAGATGTATCGATGTACATCTCTGACACTTTTCTTCTAAAGTTGTACTTTACAGGTATATTGAGATGATGGAGTTGCTGTCAGAGCCAGATTTTTCCCCAGGTTTTATGATTTTAAATACATCTCCTGTGAAACAGGGTATTCTTTTGTATTCCATCCCTCATGAGCAGGGCAAACCCATGGGAAACAATCCTAGACCTGTTCCTTTTCAGGCCAAGCCACAAGGGCAGGAATCCTTTTGTTATTCTGTCTGATTTAGTTTTATCTGCCTTGATGGCTGTGGAATTGCCTTCAGCTGCAGCCTCACACCTAAATTTCTATGCAGTATGCTTCCAGGAGACACAGGGGATCATAGAATCGTGGAATCACGGAGTGGGTTGAGAGGGGACCTTAAAGATGATTCAAGTCCACGTCCTGCCATGGGCAGGGACACTTTCCACTAGCCCAGGTTGCTCCAACCTGGCCTTGGACACTTGCAGGGATGGAGCAGCCACAGCTTCTCTGGGCAACCTGTGCCAGGGTCTCCCCACCCTCACAGGGAAGAATTCCTTCCCAATATCCCACCCAACCCTAGCCTCTGTCAGTGGGAAGCCATTCCCCCCATCCCGCCACTCCATGCCCTTGTCTCAGGAGCAGCCTGTGGTGCCTGTCGGTCACTGAGGCAGAACCTGGGCCGTGCGCGAGGCAGTGGGTGTTTCTGCCCCAAACCCCTTCAGGGGTACAAACACCCCCCTCCCCATCTCGGTCCCGCCGGGCCGGGCCCCGGCACTACAACTCCCGGCGTGCCTCGCGCCCTCACGCCGCGGCACCGCGACGTATGGCCACGTGACATCCGGCCGGGCCCGCCCCGTTACGCGTGACGAGCTGCTTTCAAACCGGCCAATCAGAGCGCTGCTTTGGCTCGAACTGGCCAATGGCGGCGCGCGGCCGCGGGAAATTTAAACGCTGCGTGGGGCGGCCGGGGCAGTGCCAGCGGCGTGCGGCTCAGGCAGCGGGACCGGCGGCACCGCGGGACAGGTGCGGGCCTGGGCTGGACACCGGGACACGGGTGTGGGCCGGGGAGGCGCGGGCCGTGCGCTGCTCTGTCAAGAAGAGCCGTGCTCCGCCGTCAATCCCTGCCGGGGCTCCCTCCGGAGCCTCTCGTGTCTCTGCTATGCTGACAGAGCCGGTGTATCCTGCTGCATCCTTGTGCGGGCTGTTGCTCCGGCGGGGTTGTGGCCGCAGTGGGTCAGGCCGGGGCTGGCCGAGGGGCAGGGGTTTGCCTCGTTACCCGTGTAGCCGTTGCTGTTTGCTGCTGGCTGCACCGGCTTAGCGAACGCCCCTGTGCTCTCTGTGCTCGCTGTTCTCTCCCAGAAGGGTCGGGGTGGGGCTGGATGGGATCCTGTGCGGCACGAGTACGTGACACAGCGCAAAAAGCGTTCAAATAGCATTTAAATGTGTGTGTGCTCTCCGAGGGAAGGAAGATCTATCTTGCTCCCAAAAATAACGACTCTGATAATATTTGTGGTTGAAATTGTCTTAACAATGCGAGTGTGTGTTCTGCTTCTGTATTGATGCTAAAGCTTTGCTGTAACATCGGGCTGTTTAAAGAGGCAGCTGTTGTCCAAGTCAGAGGCTGTTATTGTATCTAATACTAACAACTGCCTCTCATTCTCGAGTATTGATCTAAATTTTTAATCTACTTAAGTGGAGTAAACTTGCTGTTTATTTTCTCTGTTTTCAGGCTTGTCTTTATCTGCTCCTCTCAAAAATCTAGCAAGCAAGATGTCTACTAATGAGAATGCCAATACACCTGCTCGACTGAACAGGTTCAAGAACAAAGGAAAGGACAGCACAGTGAGTATTCTGGTGCAATTAGTGCTTTAGCCAGCCATTATCTCTTTAAACACGAATTGCAAGAGCCAAGAACTTAACTCAATGTGTGTCCTCCAGGAAATGAGAAGGCGGCGTATTGAAGTCAATGTGGAGCTGAGGAAAGCTAAGAAAGACGACCAGATGCTTAAAAGAAGAAATGTGAGCACTTTACCAGACGATGCGACTTCTCCCCTTCAGGAAAACAAGGGCAATCAGGTAAGCAGGTACTTGGAATGGACACACTTGGAGTCTTTCAATATGAGCTCCTGCAGCCAGGCCAGTGTGAATCCCTTCTTGGAGGGGACAGCACTACTACATGTGTACTAACTACTCAAGTGTCTGTACTATCAACTCTGATGCAAAGCACTCTTAAGTACAACTGGCTGAAGCTACACTTTAAGCTCAGTGTAACTGGTATGAAGCACTTGATTAAGAAAGCTTCCAGCAGTTCAGAGAACTGCAGGTGAAGCTGTAGCTAACAGGCTTTTGGAGTATCACATGGTGGTGATAATAAGCAAATTGGTTGTAAACTGGGGCACATTTGTGCCATTGTGTAAAAGCCCTCTGCGATCAGGAATACACATTTCTCTCCCAACAAAGCATTAACTTTTTTTTATTATTATTAAATTTATTATTATTTTATTGTACAGGTTTTGGCACACTGGTCAGTTGAAGAAATAGTCAAAGGAGTTAATAGTAATAATATGGAGCTGCAGCTACAGGCTACTCAAGCTGCCAGGTAAGCAGTTAAGAGGGACCTAACTCAGCTGTGCAAGCCAGTAACTAGGCAAGGAGAGAGCACTGACTAAGTGGCTGCATATGCATATTCCACCTTAGAATACTGTGAACTGTAAGATGACTGGGGTTTGAAGTATACCAAGTTTCATTTCTCTTTCC